GTAAATTGTTTATACACATATACCTATATACATTTGTTTATAAATATATTTATTGTTGCTATTTTGAGTTTTATTTCAGTTCTACTAACCAGTATATAACATAGCAAAACAAGATTAATATTTAGTATTTTTGTATTTCAGAGTATTACCTCCAGATTCATTTGTTACTTCAAAATCTCAACTATCGTTGAGTTGGCGCCCTTCTTTTCTCTTCTTATTGTTCTCTTTCTATAAATTTATTCCCAGTGACCTTCTTTAGTTGTATTACGTTTGATATTACCAGGTCTCATTTCGTTTCTTGTCTCATTAGCTCAGTATCCTTGCTATCTGTTTAAATCTTTAAAGCCACAATCCAGTGCATTGAAGCTAGCCCGAACACTCACTTGAGATTTAGTGTCTCTTTGGCCATTTTAAATTTGTTCCTCTGAGCTTAGCCCTATTTTTAGTATTTTTTTTTTTCATCACCTCTTTTTCAGTTCTTCTGAAATTTGGAAGTTCTACACCTCCCAAAAACCCAATACTCTCGGAGTATTGAGTTTCAATTGGCAATTGAAATTTGGAAGTTCTACACTTCCAAAAACCCAATACTCCCGGAGTATTGAGCGTTTCATGTGGATGCTATATGCAGTGAACAAATAAAGCATTTAGGCCAAGGAGCAAAAAACTCGATCTTACAATTTTATAACACGTGTTGCAAAACTTGTAAAATTGCAAAATCATGGAGGAAATCTAAAGTAATAGCCTTGTTAAAACCAGGAAAGGATCCAGAAAACCCCAGTAGCTACAGACCTATTTCGCCATTGTGTCACTTTTTTAAACTATGCAAGAGACTGATACTCGCCAGAATAGAAAAAAATGTCGACAAGCACCTCATCCCACAACAAGGAGGATTCAGACCTGGCAAATCTTGCACCGGTCAAGTCCTCGCATTAACAGAACACATTGAAGAGGGCTTTAAAGAAAAACTTATAACAGGGGCTGCTTTCGTAGATCTGACAGCAGTCTATGACACAGTAAGGCACAAAACATTGCTCCACAAATTATACGAATCTCTCAAAGACGACCATCTGGGAAAGGTCGTATATTCCTTACTGCAAAATAGACGTTTTTTCGTTATGCTGGAGGGTAAAGTAAGTAGGTGGAGAGTTTAAAAAAAACGGCCTCCCATAGAGAAGTGTTTTAGCACCAATGCTCTTCAATATATACACAAACGACCAACCTACTCCGACCAAAACCAAGTACTTCCTCTATGCTGACGATCTTACAATATGTGCTCAAAGAAATAGTTTTGAAGAAGTGGAGGAGAAACTCGAAACTGCCTTAAACACAATGACAGCTAAACTACCAAGTAAATGGGGCGCACGTCCTGGCGTGCGCCCATGGCGTTTTAAGAACAACGGAACAGTGTATTTCTCAACTGCTGAATATGCGTGCCCCGTTTGGAGCAGATCTGCCCACACCAAACAAGTTGATACTGCGCTAAATGAGATATGCAGGATAGTAACGGGGTGCATGAAACCAACGCCACTTTCAAATCTGTATAGAGCAGCGGGTTTTGCAGAACCCTCAACACGCAGAGGCGTTGCAGAACACATAGAGAAAATTAAACAGATCGCGGACAAGCGGCATGCCCCATACAAGGCTCGAACACCACGAAAGCGACTAAAATCTAGGAAAAGCTTCCTTGGAACAGTGCAGGATGAACCGCCTGAGTATTTTCCACTTTTCGAGGTTCAATAGACCGGCCAGACCCTAGACCTTAAAACGTGGAAAACTATGAATAGCATAAGAACGGGGGTCGCTACAGTAAAATCAAACATGGCAAAATGGGGAAAAATAGACCAAGATGATGTGAACTGTGACTGGAGAAACACAGAATATGGAACATCTTCTTACAAGCAGAATCTGTCTTCATCGATGTACCCTTGAAGATTTGTGGCTCTCCAACAAAGATGTAACCGACGTAGCCCGATACTGGGCCGAAATTTTATGAATAACATGCCCGGACACGATAAAGTAAAGTAAGTATTAAAATTATAAAATAGGGGGTATTTCATTTAGATTATTTGTTATTTATTTTTATTATTTGTATTTAGATTATTTCATTTAGAATTATTGACTTACTTTAGATTTAAGTTTAAAGAAATAGCGTAACATTTGCGAACACCCTGTATTTGGAAATTCGGAAATGGATGAGATATTAACTTTGAAAAGTCTGTCTCTTAGCTGTTAAAATTTTTGAAAAAGATAAATAATTTAAAAAATATGAAGGTTTGAGCTGTGGTACCTTATACAAATTTTATCTGGAATTTTTCGCAGAATCTGAAAATGCAATTATATATCGAGTGTTCCATATAAAATAAAGTTTCTGTTTATTTCCCGGAAGTGACTCAAATATTTTCTTTAAATTCGTCATAATTTTTAATTCCCATAAATCCACAATTCTCTTAAATATGGTGAAAGTAGTTTTCGATTTGTAGATAGTGTTAGCTCGTCGTGAAACACCATTGTTTCCACCATGGTTGTATAAACGTTGTTTATAACAGATTGTATTCAAATTTTTATTAAAAAATTGTAAACAATAAGTTAGGTTATGTATGGTCTGTGCAGTGACTAAAATTCCAAACCACGTTCTTTTTATTGCAGAAACTACTCTAAATTTTAAACTGACAGGACTTTTTTTGAGAAATGTCTTGACCTTAATGACGTCTAAGTAATGACGTCTCTCTCTATATTAGTACAAGTATAGTATAAATTGCTAGAAACCGATTTTAAAAGATTGTTATTTATATCATGTTATTTATGCCACAACAAATTCTCAATAGGAAGCGACCACAGATTAACCCGAGCTAATATACTATTAAATGTCAAATTGGAAAGAACAAAGATGATCCTTACAACTAGAAAAAATAGTCTGGTCAATTGGCTATGCCAAGGCCATTAAAAAAAAAAAGAAATGGATTCCCCCAGAAAGCAACGAAATATTTGAAGATACACTAACGAGATATAAACAAGACTTACAAGACGAAATAGAAGATGTAGATCAAGCAAATGATGCCATAATGAAGGCTCTAAAAGAAACGGAAAGGAAGTGCTGCTCCACCGTTCTGACCCATAAAGAAAAACTAAGCCAAAATATCAAAGAGCTAATAGGTAAAAGGAGACAGTTGACAAAAAAATACGGCTCCAACTACAGAACAATAAAGAAATTAAATAAAGAAAGTTCACCGGTCAATCCAAAAAGACGTAAGAGAAAACCATACAAGAGAAATAACTAAAATAATTCAAAAAAAAAACAAAAGTTTAAAAGTTTTGAGGCGAAATACGAACAACATAGGCAACAAAAACATGTACAACATACAAAACAAAGTTGGAAACATTCCTACTGATAGAAACAACATCCTTGAGGTTGTCGAATCCTTTTATCGCGAAATATATGAGAGCACCGACGAAACGCAAGATCAGCCCTTGCCCAAAATCATAAACCAGGGATCAGAATTAATACCAGAAATAACTCCATACGAAATCAAAACGGCAGGTGGAAATAAAATTATCCAGGCTTTGAACAAGTTTTTTACCAAAGGCATCTACCAAGGAAAAACTCCGTCTAAATGGAATAATGCAATCATTCCTTTATTATACAAGCAAGGAGACATAACAGATTTAAAAAACTACCGTCCTATCAGTTTGCTTTCACACATATATAAACTTTTCAAAAAAATTATTAAATAAAGACTGGATGCTAAGATTAGACTTCTATCGGCCTAGAGAACAAGCTGGATTTAGATCGGGATATAGCACTAACGACAACTTACTATTGATAAAGAACCTACTAGAGAAGTCTGCAGAATACAACAAACCATTGGCACTGATATTTGTCGACTACAAGAAAGCATTAGATACCATAAGCCATCAGAAAATGTTAAAAGCATTGACAGAATGCCGAATAGACCATCACTATACTAACATAATCAAACATATCTACCAAATAGTCTAGTGTAAGACTATCTGAACACGAAACAAATAAATTCTGTATACAGCGAGGAGTTCGGCAGGAGACAGTCTCTCCAAAACTATTCACGACGCTTTTAGAACATACTTGTAAGAAGGCACATCTGAACGAGTATGGTATCAACATAAATGGAAGCTCAGTCATTTGAGATTTGCAGATGACATAGTCCTTATGGCCGATCGTATGGATGATGCAATAATGTTTGAAAAATTATATCACACTTCCTTGGAGGTCGGACTAAAGATTAATATGAACAAAACGCAAATAATGACTAAGCTGATGCTAAATCGAAATATTGCTGTTGATGGAAGGGATATCATGCAGACTATATCGTATAAGTACCTAGGACATGAAATTCTGTTGGGCAGAGATAACCCACGTCGCCTAGGATTAGAATCGACAGCGTTTGGTAAATTAAACTATGTATTTAAATCGGACCTACTCATATGTCTAAAAAGGAAAATCTTTGACCAATGTGTGTTAGTTGTACTCACTTATGGAGAGGAAATATTAACACTCACAAAAAAGGTGGTTAATAAGATACCCGTGACTCAAATGGCTATGGAGCGCCAGATGTTCTGAGAGACCGAATCCCAAACGAATAAATAGGTCGTAGAACAGAAATAACAAACGCTATCGAAAAAGTGGCGTTGGTAAAATGGAATTGGACAGGACATGTCGACAGATTATCAGATAACCGATGGGCAAAACGTATTTTAGAGTGGAAACCAAGGCAAGAAGCAATACGGAGCAAAGGACGCCCACCAACTAGATGAACTGACGACCTGAAGCGTGTTAGCAATAACTGGATGCAGGCCGCACAAGACAGAGACAGATAGAAAGAACTGAGGGAGACCTATGGTCAGCAGTGGACGCATACAGGTTGATAATGATGATTTATGCTACACAAAAAAACATTTTTCAAATAAGAAATTGTTTATATGTCCAAGTTTTATTGATTGATTTGATGATACATAAAGATACTTACATTGGCACTAAATGCGTTGCAGGATAAGAAAGTGGTAACACAATTTATAGCAAACTTTCTGGCCATAGAGCCTTTGTCACACAAATGCTCTACAGCTTTTTCCAGAACTTTCAATTGGTACTTTAAAGGTATGGCCATTTCTCTTTGCATTCGAGCCCATTGTTGGAAAACCTAAAAATAATTTTTATATTAATACCAATCAATATAAGAATATAATAACTATTATTAAAGTAGTATAAAAACATGTAGATTATTTTTATAATATTTATGCTGACAATTATGTAACAATTCATAAACTACTTATACTTAAAAATACATACCCTTGATCTGACTAAAACTGAATTATCTTCAGTGTGCTCCAAAATCATTTCAAGTAGCTCATCTCTAAATTCTTTTTGCTCATCACTTAGTTCGTTGCTTGTCAAGTTACTAAGTATGACTTCTACTATGACCATTATTACAGAGATTCTAAGACTAGCAGGCTAAAAATAGAATATGTTTCTGAAGCTATTGTCTTGTGACATCTTAATTACTATTTTAATGGAATAAGCCGCAATTAAAGTTTAAAATATTGACGTTTCAATTTCCACTTCGTAAATCGCTCTCAAAATACAAACATTAATAAATTATATTATTTAAATATTTTTTTTAATGGCCTGGCATAGCCAATTGACCAGACTGTTTTGTAATTTGTATTCACAGAACAACAATCAGAGTTTGAGTTAGTACTAAATGTAAGTTAAAAGTAAATTAAATAATTGACTTGTTTTGACTTTTCTTTTTTTGTTTGTTTGTGATTTTTTTTATTTTTATTTTTTTTTTAATTTTTTTTCATTTTATTTTTTTTATCTCCTTGTATTACTTTTTTGATATTGTATGTAATATATATATATATCTATAATATATATATATATATTATATATATATATATATATATATATATCTATCTATATATATATATATATATATATATATATATATATATATATATATTTTATTTTGTTTAGGTCATTTTTTATATTAATTTTGTTTTGTATATTTTTTTTATTTATTTGTTTTTTTTATTTCTTTTTTTTTCCATTTTTTCGTATTAAAAGGTTTATTACATGATTGATATATTCGCAAATTGCTTAAAAGTTTTATCCTAATTCTAGGGTTAGTACATTATATTGTTTAAAGTTTATATTTACAATGTTTTATTAACTGATAAATACAATTAAAGATTTCTAAGTTTCCAGAGAAAATTAATTCATTTTTGTGAAATGGGAAACAGACATTTAGTTTTCGTTTTCATAAAAACATGTAATATTTCCTTGTTGGTTTACACATTCTAATAGGATATGTGTTAAATATCCATATTTACCACAAGTACAGTTTGGAATGTCTGCTAGATCCATTTTGTACATTCTTGAAGGTGTTAGAGCATGATTTGACCTTAGCCTATTAATAGTTTTAATAAAACTTCTGTTGGACTCTGAATAAAACCACCTTTTTTTAAGAAGTGTGGTTTGCCAATATTTAAATGATGACTGTCTTTCGGATTCCGTATAATTGGCTTGCCATTTTAATTTGAGCCGATGTTTACTATATAGATCTATATCTGATACCGGTAGAATATTGTTGTCTATGGTTTCTCCGCTTGATAATGCTTCTTTTGCCACTGCGTCTGCTATTATATTACCCTTTATCCCAGAATGGCCTTTGATCCATGCGACAATAACTTCTCCTCCGAGCTTGTACAATTTTAATATCTATATCAAGATGAGTAAATTCCTTGGATTTATTTGTTTCACATAATCTTTCTACTGCACTTTTACTGTCTGTAAATATTACACAGTTCTTCATTTCCTTTGTCAAAACGTGAGAAAGAGCAAACTTTAAACCCAGCATTTCGGATGTGTAGATGGAGGCTTCATCAGGTCATTAAATTCTAACCAATGTTCTAATCTATTTTGAATCAGTCTTTCCAGGGTTTTAAGAATACAAGAAGCAAGAGATATTGAGCGATATGAATTGTGATCGTCATAACGTTTGCCAGGTTTCCTTATTGGTATTATAATATACTCCTTCCAGCTTTCTGGAATTGGTGCTTGTTTTTGCCAAATATTATTTAGAACATTAAGTAGATAGATTTTATGTTCATTTGTCAGGTTAGAGATCATGGAATAAGATATATTGTCTTTACCAGGAGCAGTATTATTATTTTGTTTGAGGACCTTTCTTAGTTCCCATAGATAGAACGGACGATCTAAGCTAAGGTTATCTCTAGAAACAGTGGCTGTGGAGTTGATAATATCATTCGGAACTCAATCTGGTGAAATTTTTTGGTAAAACTCTGTTATCCATGGTTCGTCCGGGTCAAAGTAAATTATTGGATTGTTTGCGATTTTTGAAGCAATTCACTTTCCTCCATACCTTCTTAATGGGAGAATTTTGATTTAAACTTTCACAATACTCCCTCCAGTTTTTCCTTTTCTTCTCCTTTGGTTTTTTTTATATTCTATAGGGTTACTTATTGTAGGATTTTGCTTATATTTAATATAAGTTAATATTCTGCGTCGGGCTGTATCCTGGCACGTTTTGTCCCACCAAGGTTTTGGAACGTGATGTTTGTTGGTAATATTCATGTATTGTGGTATTGCTGTATTGGCTGGGAAGTAGAAGTTTTCAATTAGATCACCATACGTCCTGGGTTGATTTAGAGATGTAAAGAGTGATGAATAAAAATTCCAATCTGCTTTGTTGAAATTCCAGATTTTATGAAGCCTCTTGGTTTCTTTTTCCTGTGAGTAATAAATTGAAAAGATAATCGGTAAATGGTTTGATCCGTGGGGATCTTGTAAAACATTCCAATTCATTAGCGCTATAATATCTTGAGTACATATTGTGAGGTCTATTGCAGATGCTCGTGAATGTGTGGTTAAAGGAACAAGAGTGGATGAACCGTCATTTAAAAAAAAACTAGGTTACACTGCTCTATAGCATCCAACAATGATTTACCAGATGTGTCATCAACTTCACAGCCCCATGCGACATTGTGCGCGTTAAAGTCACCTCCCAAAATAAAGGGTTTTGGTATAATTTTAAAAAAGGCTAGCCATTGCTGTGTTGTAGTTTTGTTTTTCGGTTCATTATATAGGGATACAAGATGAATAGTTTTATTTGTTGATGGTAGTTTAAAGGAAATACATGTGTATGTAATAGGAATATTTATGTTAAATCTAATTTCTTGACATTTAATATTTGTTTTCAATAAAATAGCTGACCCACCATATCCATCTATACAATCAGTTCTAAAGCAATTAAAGTTTTTAAAGTTATAATACAAACCAGGCTTAAACCATGTCTCCGATAATAAAGTAATATGAATTTGATTTTGATGGAATAAAAATTCTAAATTTACTTTATTCAAGACTGTCGAACGACAGTTCCATTGCAAAATATTTAATTTTGAGTTTAGGTCTGCGAATTTGATAGCACATCTGGATTTACATGTTTACTAATTAGTTGGATGATTTCTGATTTAGAAACATTTAAATTATTTGTTTGTTGTAAAGAATTAACAATTTTCATAACCAATTCTAAAATTACATTAATTATACTAGGATCTAGGACCTCTGACTGCCGATCTGTGATAATTGTTTTTTTGTATTGAGGGCTACTTAATATTTTTCCCGAAGTACTGGGGACATTAACCTAAGAAATAATCTCTTTTCTGATCTGTTCAGATGGATCAGGAGTATTTGGCCTTGGCCTTTTATTAGATTTATCTTTTAATTCGTTTGAGCTATTGTTATAAAGCAAATGGGAAGCAAATTGTTTTCTAAAGGAGCTGACTTTTGGAATATTCTGAACAGAAGTAGAGGAAGAAGTAGATTGTGAATAGGTAGAAGAAGTGGGTTGAACAAGTAAGTCAAATGGATGGCTCGTATTGTGTTTATTTAAAATATCTGCATAGTAAGTTTTGGGAACCTGTTTATTGGCATCAAAAAAGTTTATGTTGGAAAAACTCATAGCTTCCTTAATTAATTTTTGTCTCTTAAACTCTGAACACACTGATAGATTTGTTGTATAGTGATTTCCTTGGCAACTGAAACATTTTGGGACAAAGTCACTTTTTTGTCATTCTTTTGTATTATGTGAATCTTGGCATTTACCACATCTTGGGCGACCTTTACACTGACTACCAAAATGACCATATCTGAGGCAATTAAAACAAATTAAAACTTTTTGTGTATAGTGTTCAACCTCTTTAATAACTTTAGTTATTGATATATAACGCGGCAATATCTGAGATTTAAAGGAAACAATACACGATTTTGTGGGAACGTAATTTTTTTTTTGAATCGTTTTCAATTAGTTCCTCTTTACGTTTAATTCGCCAAACGTTTACAATTTTAAAGTTACAATGACAATCATATTGTTTAATTTTTGATTTTACATATTCTTCAGAAAATTCTGTATCAATATCTCTAATTATCCCTTGTCGGAACAGAATCAACTTAGGTATATATAATTCTAAATTATTTTAACAAATACTGATGAATTTTTTTGATTTATTAAATAATTAGCATTTTTGTAGTCTGTTAATTTTATCCTAATTCTATTACGATCTATGGAATCAATATTTGTAATTTTTGCGTCCAATTCAGGAAACGCAGAAAGAATAATATCACCAACTCTTAAAGCGTTTAACTTACCCGTGAATGTTCCAGAGCAATTCTCTACGTAAACATGATAAGGTCTGGTATCTTTATTTGTATATAAATAAACCTGTTTATTATTTACCTTCTCATTAACGTTAGAAAACATTTCCGTTTTTTCCCAAAGAATTAGACATTAAATTAGTATTTATATTTTGGTTCCTTTGTTTTTGTGAAATTGTTTCCATATTTGTAAATTCCATCATACCAACCTGATTTTCATCTTTATCCTAAGGGTCGGGGTCTGGATCAAGATCTGGGGGCTTGCTGCCCCCAATTAATTCACTCATCTTTATAAAAAAACACCTATAGTTTCACCAAAAATTATTGTTTATCGCAAACAACAAAACAACTAAGAAAAAAAACTTGTTATCGATAATATTAATTAACACCGATAATTTAAACACGTCCGTACAATTTGAATTCTACCGAACAACTGATACTTTAAAATGTATCTGTCTAAGTGTCAATATAAATGAGTCCGATAAAATTAAATTATTAGAAGAATTTTCACCAAGCAACAAAAAACTAAATTTGTTTAATTTATTAACGTTTGTATTGTGAGAACGATTTCCGAACTTCCGTCAAATTGTGGCTAATTCCTATTAAAAAAGTAAAAATAGAATATGATAAATCATAGTTTGCTAGTTATACACTGCTACACAAAAACAGGAAAAAACAAATCAGAATATAAAATATCACTAAACATTTCATACATTGTAACTTGCATTATAACAGTGTTGAGATTCTGATTAATATACTCTTCAATTAGAGCAGAAACATTGTAACATTTTTAGAATGACATTATCTTGGTTGATGTATTCAAGACAATACTTTCACCAATAATCCTACTGTAAAAATCCTTGATTGTGTCATTGTTCAAAATACTGAACAATACAGATGAAAAAACCTTGTTAACATTTTTCAATATCTCACTGAAACAGCTGCAATTACTTCAGAAAGTTAAAAAAGTCATGTTCTACCAAACTAAACATAATTATAAGAGAAACCTGCAGATTTTGATGATATTCAATACACAGTAAGAAAAGACACCCTCTTAAGGACCATCAAATTAAATAACCAACATAATTCGGCCATAAAGTCAAAAATAACATAGAGGATATTTTTTGTCAGTTATAAATTAAAAGTTAATATTAATTTTGTTAATTTACCTCATGATATAAATAATTATTTAAAGACACCACTTCAGGCATCATAAGATCTGGCATAAGAGCAGCTAATGTTGATAGAACTGTTGCACAATTTCTTGCTCCCTACAAATATATAGACAATTGAATTATTTAGACATTTCTATAAAAAAAATCTATCTACTAACCTGATTATCTTGATTTTTTTCATCTGTTTGCCACTCTGTCAATTCTTCAATCAATTCATGTAGTAAACTTTTATAATTAAAATTTTGTACGAGGTGCTGGATGCCTTTTGGTATACATTGCACCAAATGCTCATTTAATTTAATAAGTTGGGTTATCCGAATCACAAAAGTTGTACCATGGTTATACGTTTTCATAAGGTAGCCCAAAACATTGAAAATTTCATTAAATTCTTCAGTCTGCTTCTTAATAGAAGGATGCTGTAAAAACTCATAAGCTATACCAGAAATGAGGTTAACAAATGATTCTTCCACTACTTGGTTCTCCCAAAACAAAGATATTTCTCTTTGTATTAGATTATTAAGTACCAGCAAAACACTTTTCTTATCTACTTCAAACTCTTCTTCTGATTCTTTAGCAGATTTCTTTTTGCCTTTGGGCATTGATAGGTGTTGTTGTTTTTTAGCAATATTGCGTTTCTCTAGTAGATTAATGGTTTGTGTGTATAAATAAATCAACATTTTGAGTAAATTAGTGTATTTAAGTTTGACTTCATCATTTAAACTGTCTTTGTCTTCAAGTAAAAAGCCAAGGGCCTTATTGAGCTCAACAGTACCTAAAATTTTTAATATATACAGTAATAATATATCCTATATATACATAATATACATATATAGTGGAACCTCGATTATCCGTCTCTCTATTAACCGTCACCTCTGTCAACCGTCAGGGTCCATACATAAGTTATATTGACAACATAAGTAAAAATTTAGTCAATTCATTTTTTTTGCAAAAAATTTTCCACCAAAGACGATTCTCATTTTGTACAATGCACCTGCCTATCCTACAGCCGGTATGCTGCGGAGTGACGATAAAAATATCACGTATTCTTTTCTGCCTGCGAATACAACATCATTGATACAGCCAATGGATCATTCGGTCATTAAAACATTCAAAAGAAGATACAGAAAAAAATTTATTCAAAACCTAGTTATGGAAGAGTAATATTCTTTGACAGAATACTGGAAAGCATGCAATTTAACACGCAGTCACAATGCTGTGGATGCTTGGGCTGATGTTTCGGAAGTAACGCTGAAAAGAGTGTGGAATAAATTATGGCCTGAATCAACTTAAGATGAAAATACTCCCCTTAAATAAAGTTATGGCTAAATCAACTGTTTTCTTTTCGTTGCCTAAAGATGACATAAACGAACAGTTTAATTTGTGATGAGGACGCAAAACGGCTATCGATGCTGACAGCTGATGAAATCGTTGAAATGGCGACAGGGGCTGACGAAACTGATTCAGAAAATGACAGAGACTTTGATGGTGGCGATGTTGATGATGCAATTACAACTCACATAGATTTGCGTAAAGAAGCTAGAGGAGCTAACATCGCACATACAACAATTCATCAGTGGTATTCTCGGGGAGAAGAAGCAAACAAGGTAGATTTGATTCTAGTAGATTTCGGAATAATTTAAAATGAAATTGATTCGACTGTACTAACATAAATCCCTCTTAAATTGTCAAATAAAACATACAAACAAAATTTGAGAGTTATACTATTCTTTTTTTTAATGTTCTGTTAACCGTCTTTTCGATTATCCGTCATACCCTCGGTCCGGTGCCCCGACGGATAATGGAGGTTCCACTGTATATATATATATATATATATATATATATATATATATATAATATATATATATATATATATATATACTCATATAATGAATAACTAAACTCAAATTTTTATGAAAATGAGGTAAATCATGGAATTTGCTTGTAAACATGCATATCTATTCCCTGTAAAACTTTAGTAACTTTCAAATCTTTAACCGGCTAAATAATACAACAACAACAGTTTAACTATTTTGCGTTTTTGTACATAAGTTCCGTTGAACTGTTGTAATTCTAATGTAACAGAGTTACAACAGTTTTGCACGGAACATTGCAATGGTTTCGATAACAAACAATGAAAGTCACAAAAAGTAAGATATTTGTTATTTTAATATCTATATCTGTAGTGTTTAATTTTAATATACAGCGTGTCTACGCAATCCATTTATGGCCGAGACAATAAAGAAATATTTACGAGACCAATCTATTCGTGTAAGTTTTATGTCCTTTGTGTGACATTATATTTTCCATAACATGTGTGCGATGTCGTTTGACCATTTATTTATTAGATTGGATTAAAAAAACATTAATTAAGACTAATTATTTATTATTATATATGTATTAAACCTTCATTGTCGCGATTGTCTTATCATATTGTCCCCCCGTAATTCCCAACTTTTACTAAGGTAGTGAATTTCAATTCTTTTGTTAATCACTGTACTCAAGGTAGCCTGATTTGCATATTTTTTATTATAGTCCTTTTGTTTTGAATTTAAATAAAAATATTGAAAGTTTTACAAATAATTTTTAATAATATAATAATAATAAACCTGCCTAACAAGATCAGCCAAAAATTCGAATAGCCAAAAAGAAAGATTTGGTATACTTATGCCATTCAGGCGATACCAGAAGCCCACCATAGTTTTTATAAAAAATATTTTGGCCCAAGATGATATATGAGAAAAGGGACAACAACTAACATAGAAAATGTGTCTACACTTTTTAGAATTTTCTCTGTGCAGAAGTGTTGTGTAACTTTAAAATTTTAACACTAAATGTGTAGTGATTAACTATTCTCTCTGTGCAAAAGTATTGTAACTTTGAAATTCCTAATTTTTTTAGCATTAATATTATTTTATTTTAAATCTCTATTTTTCGTTAATGTAATATAGGCTGAAAAGCATGCAAAATCATAATTAAATGTTAATTTTTCTTAAAACTTGTATCTTATTTCACCGATATTAGCACGAAAATAAACAAAATCGTCAAACTTACTTATTCTGACTTACTGCAGTCTTGCACTGAGGGTGCGATATATATATATATATATATATATATATATATAATATATTATATATATATATATTATATATATATACAGTATGATGCACATGTATGGAATGAATTCATTATTTCAAAAAACAGACAAATATTTCCAATAAACATGACATATTATGTTTCTCTAATCTTAAACATTCCAGTTAGTCATTGCATTTTTATTTTATCCCACATTGAAAGATGTAATAAAAATTTACTACTTCCCGTCTTCACTGCCGATAAGAATTGCTGTGTAAAAATGTAAAATGTTTACATTGCACTAATTTGGCTTGTAAATAAACCTTTTAAGAACTGAAAAAAATCTAGAGGACAAATAAATAAATAACAAATTATTATATGATAGAAAAATAATAAGGTTTTATTTTTAAATTCAGCAAAACATGTTTATATGAGACGAAAACCTTGAATTCCTTGGGAAAATATTCGCATGAGATTTTTTGCATAATCACATATAAAAGACCGCAGAATATTGTTTGAGTGGTCGCCCATACAAAAAGTGGTCCTAATTTATTAAACAGTTTTGTATAAATCCATTTTTAGGTTGGGATAAGGCCCTCAAACAACTAAAATCAATGTTTTAAAATCAAATAAGCCCAAACTAAAGTATCAGAAACTGATAGAATTTTTGGTGAATTCAAAAATAATTGTGTGTCTTTAAGCCAATTTTAGTTTTTTTTTTCATAAAAAGCTATTTTTCTAACACAAAAACTAGTTCGTCTCTGTCTCACTACAATAACACACTGAAGAGAACTGCATGTTTTTAGCAATGCCTGATTTTGTTGTTTCGTTCATAGATCGACGTCACTAAATGATTATGTCAGGTCCAAGACATTATGAATTATCTTTAAAAAGCATTGGTCCAAAATTTTGCACCTACTCTCTTAAGGACCAAGGTTTACTGTTGTCAAAATGACCCAGACCAACTTTTTAACATTCTCAGCTATGTTAAAAGGTCCACTTGTAAAAAGAAAGAAGGATGTAGTGAAGAATGACTAAGTGGCAACCTGTATGTTGTTTTCAGTAGACTAAAAAAGTTGGCAAAAACAGTCTTAAAGCTTAGATGAATATAAATCATATCAACTAATATTACTAACACAACTCAAAAATGGATAGATGAAGGAAGCTGTTCCACAGATTACATTTCATTGCCAATTCTGAAAAGGGATTTTTTGGCACTACTTGACTACATTCTGCCTGTATTTCATGATGTTTATAGACAATTACCTTCTTCTTCAAAGTCAACATCAACCAATCCCTATGTAGCATTCAATGAAGATGGTAACAGCTGATGTGTGTAGATACCTTTTAACAGTTAACTATAAATGACTTTCTGTAAAATGCATAGTTAATTTGATGATTTTGTTCATCATTCCTTTAGAATATTACATTATTTTTAGTTATTTGTTATATTTCATTTATTGTAAAAAAACACAAAGTCACTTTGTTATAATCAATGTTGGTGACAAATGGAATAAATCAATCAAAACTCAGGAAAAATATATATATCGTCATGGTACCTGCAATAGGCTGTGTGTCATTTTCATGTAACTCTTTAGAAAGGACAAACAACTTCCCATCTTTACAATTCTTCATCAATTCATCCCAAATTTTATTTACCTAAACAAAGTCACTACCCATCTTTCTTAACACATTATGTAATAGGTTAAATCACAGTAAGTTATACAATTTGATTACAGGATGCTTCATAATGTAGGAATCAATTAGTTTTATATTTTCCTGAAAAATTGCTGTTTGTCACTTATGTGTTTATTCGCACCACCCATAGATATAATAATGAACATGTTACCTTTATGCAAATCTTGATATGATTTGAAAATAAGATCCATAGATACTGCATCCCCATGGTGCAGTAGAGAATAGTAACTATCAAATGAACTTAGTATAAATTCTGCACCTTCATCTAGAAGTAACTGTCTGCAAACTAAATAATGAACAATGTTATTATAAAGACAAAACAATACCTATTTTTTGATTATATTTATATTATTTTATTATTATACAAAATATTCTCTATAGTTTGCTTTTTATGATTTCCTACACTTTCTGATTTCATCTAAAATAAACCTTTAGTTGTTAAACATAATATCCATAGATATGTCTTAATTACATTGTTGGCTTAACAATATATATCAACTAGCAAATCATTCCTTATGTTAGGAATCCATGCTTTTACAGAAAACTATAAGTAGTAACAGAATAAAATTGTATTTTGAAGTTTTAATAAAAATGATAAAAATAAAACATGAGCATTAAGTAAAACCAAATAAGGAAATATCACTAAAAAAAGTCAACCAATTATAAATAAAACAAAACTCAAATTATTGGATCTGGTATTAAAGGGAATACAAAAGTGTCACATAAAATATATTGGAACATAAAATTGTATATTGAATACCTTTTAGTTCTCCAGGAATATCATTTTGGATGGATACATTTCTCACAGTATATTCGTCGTTTATACAGCTTCTAAGTAAGTCTTCTTTATTCCCCGGAATAACAAACGTAAAATGAGACATGATTATTAATGCTTTGAAACGAATAAACTCATAAATAAATAATTTAATAGGAAAGTATAAAATCGAACAACCAACAGAATAACATGTAGGTTATCTTGTTATTTATAAAAATGACAGTTAGTCAAACCAATTCAAACATTCAAAAACATAGCCAACATGAAGAGATTAATTTCCTCAGCAGGCTGTGCTTAGCTGATGTTATGCAACCAACATTTCACTTCTTTCCTTGAAAAAAGAAGAATTATTCTAAATAGTGGAAGTGTATACTAAACCCACCAAATTTTGGGTAGTATATAGTTAAAAGATATATTTTAGTTGTTATAATTTAACATAACTATTTACTGTATGGTGCAGATAAATAAATATTGATTGTCGGTAATTCGCAAAGTTCTATTTTATTTACTATTTAGTTCGTTTAATATTAATATTGGCTATGAGTATGTGTGCTTGGTTGTATAGTAATTTCCAGCCACTTTTAAGGTCAATTCAGACACATCAGTCCCGTTATAGTCTCGGCGCCGAACAATGACGTATAATATATAGACTCGGTGAACGCTTTAAAAAGTGTCCAAAACATGAATACCTTTGTTATTGTTTATTGTTTTGATACGAAGATGCACGAAGTTCATGATTTCTTACGAAGCATCACGAAGTTGATCTTGTGTTTGAAAACATCATAGCAGTATGAAAACATTTTCTCCATTTTGTGTGACAAGCAAATTTTATTTTAAATTGTTGAGAGTTATTTACTTACTATTTTAGTACAATGCCATACTATTTTATCAAAATAATTATTTATCTTATAAACGGGAACAAAAAGAAATCATAAATATTTAATTTTAATTAAAAAAATAATTATTGTCATTAACATATAAATGAGCACGCCGCTGTTCTGATAAACATACCTTCAACCTTGAGCCGAGATCTTTCGGACACTCGATTCTATAACGAGAATAGGGGACTGCGTAGTCTATATATTATACGTCATTGGCGCCGAACCTGTTTGGTCATAGAACTATCAAGTATCTGACAGCTGGGAAACTGTTTGTCAACTGATGAGTGTGAACGCCGGCAACATATTTGTATTCGCTGTGAGCCGATGAGTAGAGGGGATTTGACAGTTTTCACCACAGAATAATTTTATTATTTATTATTCTGTGGTTTTCACCAACGCTGTTAGTGGCAGTTTTGTGCATTTAACTTGTAAACATTCAAATAATGACGAATATGGATTTTTCAAAAAGAAAAATATATGATACATGTAAAAATACTGGGTACAACAGTCATTGTAAATTTTATTCATTTCCTGTTGCCAAGCATAAAATAGTTCAAAGAGAAAAATGGATTATTGCTATCAACGAGAAAAATAAGTAAATAACCTATAATGCAAACATGATATTTGTATGGTGTAAAATTAAAAAGCTATTATATTCCGAAACATTGCGTACATGCCCTGCATCAACTAAACCTTTTCCCTTTTTTGGTGTAGCTGATTGAAATGGGATATCATGTGATATAGACTTAAAACCAGTATAATGTTTAATATCCATTTTGATAAAATTAAAACAAATTTAAGAGGTGGAGGCCATAAAACGAAAGAAGAAGAAGAAGAATTAAAACAAATTGATATCTAAGCACTAAGGCCTACGCACACAAAAAAATAACTGAGCAAAAATAGAATAAAAATGTAAAATAAAAACAAGAATTACAACGTTACAGAGGTAAAGGTAACCAGAATATAGACGTTTTAAGCGTCTATAACCTTAAATATTTGCTTTAACCATTAAATATTTTCATATAAACTTCTTCTTTTTCTCATGACCTCTTGCGTAAGTAGTCATCCAGTCGCAAGAACTTATATCTTAAATATTATAATTATAATTGAATAAAATAACAAGGCGTAATTACTTTTACTATTAATTCTGTGTATTCGTTCATTAATCAGTTTACCATAATATTTCAGTTCATTATTTTGTATTTTTAAATAAATATCTATTTTTCTCATTTTGTCATATTTCATTTACACTGATTTTACCAGAAAAGTACAAGTTTCAAACCGCGAGAGAGCGCTACCGGCGAAACTCACAGCGAATTAAAGAATATTTTGTATGACGGATTGTCCGATTCGGCACAATCACTGTGACGAGACGTGACTGATGTGTCTGAATTGACCTTTAGTCTGTCAAAAAGTCACTAACTTCGCAAAAAAATAATAACTAAATTCACTAGACAGTTCGGACTGGGAATAGCGAACCGAGTTTACAACATTTAATGAGCCCCTATATGCACAAAACAACATACGCCCGCAGGTGTTTGCTCCCGACTGCTGTCATACCAACCCATATCCAATATTCTCTCATATGCTACAACTGGACAGCTGCAACAAACCGGTTTTACAAATCGACAGGTGCAACAAACTGGTTTTACAAATCGACAGGTGCAACAAACCGGTTTGCTTGTATCCGGACTGATCTCATGCCAACCCCATATCCGATATCCTCCCATTTCCTATCTACTATGCTGCCACAATCCAAATTAAGGCGTTACCAATCGTATGGACTTCTCCAACTCAGCCGTTAATAAAGAACATTCTATAGATGATAACATTCTTATCATCAAAAACTTTCTCTACGGGGACTTAAAGTTTTTAATTATTTCTTGGTCTAAAGTAGTGCTGTAGTTTTAGGTGGCAAAAATATTATCGATATGTTAGATAACTGAATATCCGGATGGGATGTTACGTTGACTAGGAATAAAAGAATTTGTCTTGTTTTTTGTCAAATTTGTGCAGCTAATCTGTCATTATATCTCTGGCCTCCTTGGCCATCCTGGCCTTCTTGATCTGGGCCAGTGCACTTTTCGTTACAAAATGCAAAAGTTTTACTTGGTACGGTTTGATAATACAGACCAGTCCAGACCACTTAATAAATTTGGCAGTTTACTTTGCCACTCTGAACCGTCGTCAAGGTTAACATTTGCAACTTTTTCAGAAATTGCTCTAAATTTAATGTTATGTTTTAAGCAAAACTTGTCAAGCCAACCATTGGAAGCTTTAAAATTCAAATTGAGTTCTTTCGCCGCCTCTAAGCTTTTTCTTTTAGATATTATCGGTCCAGATAATGGAATGTTCTTATTTCTGACTTTACAAAACCAATCTTACACTATAGTATCGATGGCATCTACCTTTAGTTTTAATCCTCTTTTTTGTTTAACATTTCCACTTTCCCTATACCACTTTTTTAATTCGGCCTTTTTCGTTAAAATGTCACTAACTTGAGTTTTTCCTATTTGAAACGTTTCGACCAAAACTCGAACTTAATATTTATTTCTACTATATTTATAGAATTATAATTATTTTTTTCAGATGTTTCTATGACCGATACTTTTTCTTCTAAACTTAAAAACTTTCTTTTAGTCGAAGACATTGTTACCATTACAGCAGAATATCGCAACTAAATTAGAAATGTGTACAAGTGTTGAAAAAATTCTAAAATGGGTGTTTCCAAATCAAACTCGATGTAACTAAAGTATCTAGTGTTTTATAACCATAAGTAATTACTTATATAATTAGATTTATGGCTACAGTAAGTTATGTAGGTACATATTTGGATTTCCAGAGCCCTAATTTTAAACTTTTAATCGCCTTTAGCTGACTGTCCGTTATTGGAAGGTAACATTACAATAATTTGTTAGAAAAACTGAGGGCAAGTTTTGACCGGAGTCATTGTGAAGAGGGTTCGTTGTTCGGAGGTGCCTTCCTATTTATCCACATATGAAAAGTTCGATGACCTAAAAACTGTTCGTTCAGCAGGGGTTTCCGTTGTGCAGAGGTGTCCGTTAACAGAAGTTTTACTGTATTTTTGCATTTGCACCTCCATAAGAATCAATTTGTATTAAAGTACAAATAACTGCAGCTATGCATCTTGAAAAACATATGAATGACATAAAACTCTTCTTCAACTTGAACGATTTCATCATTTGTTTGATATATTTTCAATTCGTGAAGTTGTTGCCCTCGATATACCCATATAGTCAGCTACTGATATTTGTATTTTTTCAGAAGAAAAAAATATGAATGTTAAAAATAACTGTTGGACTGGTGTAACAGTTTCTGCTCTAAAAATCTGCTGATTAAAGTATTGCTCTGTATACATTAGAACAATAATGTTAGTTGGTTTGACTTTCTAATGATTTTTTATCCACAATGTTAATGTAATGACAAATTTTATTATATCTTAATGATATTACTTACCTCCTTTGCTATGAAGTTTTATTAAAGATTTGATCTGTTAAAACAAAGAAATAACTGTATCTTTTGTCAAAGGTTCAAAGAACACTTTTTAAAGAATATAATTTAATTATAATTATATTATATAATAATAATATTATTGAATAATAATAATATAACACAACGATGAAGGATAATCATTTTTTAATAAAACAGATGTTAACAAATGTTTCTTCCCTAAGAACAAATAATTCTCGTTAGAACAAGTAATTTTGGCTCTATCGTATAAGGATTTAATGATTCCCCTTTTAATATTAATATTGTGATTTGATTTATAATTTCCATATCTGTTGGTGTGTGGTGGTCAATGACGTATAATATATAGACTACGCAATCCCCTATTCTCGCTATAGAATCAAGTGTCCGAAAGATCTCGGCTCAAGGTTGAAGGTATGTTTATCAGAACAGCGGCGTGCTCATTGATATTTTAATGACAATAATTATTTTTTTAATAATTAAAATTAAATATTTACGATTTCTTTTTGTTCCCGTCTATAAGAGAAATAATTATTTTGATAAAATAGTATGGCATTTTACTAAAATAGTAAGTAAATAACTCTCAACAATTTAAAATAAAATTTGCTTGTCACACAAAATGGAGAAAATGTTTTCATACGTCCATGATGCTTTCAAACACAAGATCAACTTCGTGATGCTTCGTAAGAAATCATGAACTTCGTGCATCTTCGTATCAAAACAATAAACAATAACAAAGGTATTCATGTTTTGGACACTTGTTAAAGTGTCACCGAGTCACCGAGTCTATATATTATACGTCATTGGTGGTGGTTTTCTATACACC